CAGCGGTGAAGTTGATATTGAGAATGTCAAAGATTTATTACTTGTCGTGAATGATAATAAGGAGAAGGGTAAGACGAAACCCATCCCATATTTTGGGTTCATCACACTCGCTTTGGAAAAGTTAAATTCCACCGTGCCAGCTATCATAGACCGATCCGCCAATGACACGACTCGTGTCGGTTCAAGGAATAATAGTGTTTCGGGCAGTGTGATAAATTTTGAAAAATACTGGAGAATGTATGATACTATCGTCGACCCCCTCGCTCAGTGGCAACAAGCTGGAAATTTCAATGAGATCAGTGAAGATTCTTGTCCTTTTTCACCTTCCTCTCCTATGCAAAAATATTTTCATCAATTGAATTCCGTTCCTACTTCTTCAACCCTTGACACTTGGCAGTTATTTGATTCTTCTTTGAGTTGCGAACCAATACTTCATGGTCAATATTTGGAACATCATGCTCGTCAACGAAAATCTCATTCTACATATTATCCTTTGGTATTCACCGAAGTTATACCGACGAATCGATTGTTCAAAAAAAGTGCTTTCTTAAACGCTAGTGGAACTTTAGGGAAGAGGAATTCTAATTCTTCATTAAACCTCGGGGATACGAATCCTGCAGTGTCATCACCTGTACGTTCCAACATCTCTGGACCCACAACCCTCAATATGGACGCGCTACCGGCCTCAACCTCTGGTAAACCGAACTCTCCAAGTCATCTTTCGGTACATCCTTTACGTGGTAATGTTAGGAAGAGGACTCTATCCTTCCCATTGGCCAGAATAGGTCCCCTGACTTCCACCACTTGGAATACCGGGTTGGACCTTGTCACGAGAAATTGGTTGGGCGGACTTGTTCAACATCGCGGAGGTTACACGGTTTTGTTGAAATGTATGAAAGATATTGCGGGCGTTGGTGAGATGTTAATGTTTGTAAAAGATGGGGAGTTGGTCTTCAAGTCCGTTAGGGATGCTACCGGGTCTCGTCCTGCAAGTCTGGTGGAAAGTTCTTCCGGAACAGGTTCTAAGCGCAATTCTACTCATGGTCTCCTTGCTTTAACTCAACAACAGAATTCACCACGCACGAGTATACACGCAAACAGTGATCACGACGCTCTTATGGTGGTTGTTAAAGCCGGAACTTTGGAACGTCTGGTGGACGTTTTGATCAATGGCGTCGCATCTTATAGCACAAGCATCTACGATGATAATGGCGAACCACCCTTAACGATCGGAAAACAAGGACAGCTCGGAATTAATTCAGAAGAATATTTCGCAACTTTCTTTAGCACGTATCGTAGCTTTTGTGGTCCTATCTTGCTTCTTGACATCTTACGAAAACGGTTCATTAACGCCAAGAAAGTGTCAAAAGAAATCTACGAATCTCAAGATCAAATCGAAGTATCACCTAGCCTGACGCGTGATAATATTAGTTTCAAGGCCGAACCCGTGCGTTATGATTGGAATATGGTTGCTTCAATTCAATTATAATAAAAATATTAAAAGTATTTAATTATTGGATTTCGGAATTCTTTTATGATTTCTTGGATGACTTGACTTTGAGAAATCGTTTAATGCATTTCATTAATGAAGCAAAAACTGAAGTGAACATTTGGTCTGAACTCGTCACGGAGGAGCCTGTAGCAATCCTAGCTGGGGAGATTAAAGAATTTTTAACATCATTGAAAAGTTTGGTCACGATAAAGAGCCTTGAACCGGCATACGACTTTCCTGATGAAAAGATGATTCGTTTTGTAAATAAAGTGTTTAGTAATCCACGTCAATTATCGTCCGAAGAGAATGATAACAAACCGACGGAAAGTGATGACAATTTTGATATCCCTTCATTAGATAATAATGCCGCTTCCGATCTTTTGGATAGTTTTGATTTAACCGTGCTTGGATTGTTTGAAGTGGTAACACCGCAAGAATGGATTTTAGCTTATGAAATCCTGGAAACTCAATCTGCAGACGTCCTTGGCTGGTATCCGAAAAAGCAATCTCTTTGGGTTTCAGAAGATGAAATCCTTATCACGGACATATTCATAACCATACAACAGACAGAACGAAACGGCAACCCTAAAGAGTATATCCTTAACTCACTTCCTCGATCCATTCAAACCTTGTGTCGTATGCATTACACCATACGTAACTGGGTAATTCAAGAAATCACTTCAACATCTATCGAAAGTGAGAGACGTGGGAAGCGAATAACCAAATTGCTTGATATGATATTGTTAAGTCGGAAGAGAATGGAAAAATTAGACATTTATCCCAAAGACGAAACTGCAAAGCAAGAATTTGAACATAAAAGAGGAGTTCCCTCCCTTGTTGAGAGCTCAATAGTTAGCGGTTTGATTAGTCCAGAGAGTAGGTTATTCACGAGGGCCTGGAACGATGTAGCACATAGTCGAAAAGGTGGACTGGATACACTTGACACTTTACTTCAGATCGATTCACTAAACCTTGTCGAAGAAGATTTACATTCCAATTTCGCTTTAGTACCATGCGTCGGTTGGTTATTTGAAAGGATGTTGGAAATTTGTTGTAACGTTCCTGATATGTCTTTTGAATCAGAAAAGTTGATCAATTATGATAAACGTCGTTACGTATATAATTTGACGCAAATATTTATTCGACTACAACGTGAGTTGATGGAACGATCTCATGAAAGAAAGCCTTCCGTCGATGTTGGATTCTTGACAAATTCACACAGTATCACTTCCAAGCCGGACCTCCGCTCTATTAAGGACCATTCTTACAAGGAGAATAACGCGAATGCAACACAAAGAACAACCAAGGTTCCAAAACCGTTTAATAGACTTGTCGTTGAGCAGCAGGATAAGATTAGACGCGACCATAAAGAAAGAGATCGTTTGGCCAAAGATATACGTGACACTCAGAACAAATTACAAAAGAAACAAAATGAACTTGAAAAGCGGTCCAGAACACATCAAAGACCACGTAATAAGTCTAGGGTTGAAACCTTTATTAAACAGGTTGCACGACCCATCTCTATTGCTTTGGCAAATACTTGGCATTCTGGAAATTCCACGAACATTAGAAACGCACCTGGAAAATCTCATCACTCGTCTTCTAAAGTCGCACTCGTTATCAATTTAATTAACTCTGAGGCTTCTCCTGATTATGGCATCACACTTGATTTCGTTTTTCGAATTGTAACCGAGGAAGGAGGACAATATTTATTCCAAGCTATCGATAATGACATTATGAATGACTGGATACGAGTTCTCAATGAAGCGGCCATATCAGGGGCGGAAAAACGTAAAACGATATTAAATAAGGAACCAACCATTGAACCCAAGGAGGATGATGTTCCCGAAGATACCAAAACGCGAATCTCTGGTAAGTTTAATTTAAACCTGTTTTGTTTTTTTTTTTTAAAAAAAAAAAAAAAAAAGCGAATCCTGACGCGTCGATTTTCTTGATCAACGATTAGTATATGGTAAGGATTTAGAAACATTGATGCCCGATGGCAAGATTCCAGTTTTGGTTGAAAAATGTATAACCGAAATTGAAAAGAGAGGTAAGCGATCTAATATGTCAGATGACGATTTTTTACCCCCTTTGTACTAAAAGAACATGATCATATTTATCTAGGTCTTACGGAAGTTGGTATTTATCGAATTTCCGGAGCTACCAACGCTATTGAGAACCTTCGTACAGCTTTCAACAAGAGTAAGTGCATATATTTTTATTATTTTTGTCGTCATCGTCGTCGTCTGACCTTTCTATTTCTTATAGATGCCGATGCTGTCGATTTGAGTGGTGAAGAGTACAGAGACATTAATATCATAGCAAGTGCTCTCAAACTCTTCTTCCGTGTTCTTCCTGAACCTATAATAACTTATGAATTATACGACGCTTTCGTCGAGGCCGACGGTAAACCGACCAACCTATTTGATTATGAGAATTTACAATTGCGATGAATTTATGATCGTTACTAATTATATAACTTTATTGCAATTTGCCCCATCTTATTTAAATGTATGTCTATCTATAGGCATTAAAGATCATGATGAAAAGCACTATTCTATTAAGGAACTTTTGAATAAACTTCCCAAACCGAATTATGAGTTATTGAAAAGATTAATTGAACATTTGGAAAGGTGAATTAAACATATGTGTATATATCTGTTGCCATTTAAATATTTTGCTAATAATTTGCTATTAAAGGGTAACGGATTTTCAGGAGCTCAACCATATGTACGCAAGTAATTTGGCTATTGTTTTTGGACCCAATTTACTCAAAGCTAAAGATTATGGAAAAAGCATGTGCAATATAGGTCATCATAATAGCATCGTCAAATGTTTGATTCTTCAATATCATTGGTTCTTTAATGTAGAAGAGGAAGAGGCATCTGAAGTCGAGTATCAAGATGATGATCTTTTGGACGATCCAGATATCGAAACTAGTGAACCTGACGGGGGAAATATGACGGATGATGTTTCATCATTTGAAAATTCTTCAGGGAACGACGGTACATGGCAAACGAGCGAGACGAATTACGATGAACCTAGTAATTTAAATAATGAATCCGGAAGACGTTCAATCAAAGAAGAACATGTTGAATGCACGCAAGAAAATTTACAAGATCCTATAGAGGAATCATCTAAGCAAGGTTCCGATTCAGAACAACAGCAAATCAATAATAAGCATAATTACGTTGAGGACACGAACAACAGAGATTCAATACTAACGAATGTAACAGAGGATCTAGAAGGTGAATTGGAGGAATCATTGAAGGGACCGGAGGAGAATACGATACATGAGCAACATGAGGTACCTTTAAAACGTTCAGATGTAACTTTTGAAGCGAGTCACCGTGATTCTGATTTTACGAATGTAACAGGGAAACCAGAAAATGAATCGATAGCGGCACTAGTGGAAAAGGAAGATTCAAAAGAACAAGAGGTTAACAATTATTTACAAAACTTTAGTGAAACAGACTGGAGTTTCATTGACAACTTGGCAACAAATGCAACTAAAGATTCCAAAAGAAAATCCAGGTATTCGAAAATGTTTCTGGGTAAACGAATTTCTAATGCGGATGAAATGAATCTTATAGATTTTGATTCCGATTATGAAACATTGCAAGATGAGGCTAAAGGTTCGAATGATTTTAGTGAACATTTAATGGATTATATTGACAATTATAAAGAGCATAACTCCAATCTAGATATACCGCTGCAACCAGAACAATTTGTACGTCAAGATAAAAGTGGGTCGGATGATGTTGAAATTTTGAATCGAACTTCCGTTACCAATCATAATTTAGACGGATCGAGTTTATGATAATTCACTTCAATTTGTTGTGACTGATATGGTTTCAAAAAGAAAAAGCATTGTATATGGACCGGTAATGATGGATCAGGATGAGATTGATACGATTATTTGAAAAAAAGCAGAAACGCGTGTTGCTCAACAAACTTCCGTTGAAAAATGTTGTGAATGAAAATCGTAAAAACAATGATATAAAGGTCACAAATGAACATTCAAAAAAACAAAAAACAAAACAAACAAACCGCGGCGCGGATTATCAAATAATATAGTGAATTAATTTATTTATTTTTATTTAAGAATAGCATAGGCTTCATTCATATAAAATTACACAATTCAAGCAAAAAAAGAAAGAAAGAAAAAAGTATTCTTTTAGCTATTATGGTTATTTAGACTTTTTTTTTTTTTTTGTTTTGCATGTAGTATACATAATGGTTTTTTTTTTCAGCACCATAATAATTTATATTTTATTGATTTTTCATTTTTTTTTCATATTTTTTTTTTTTTTTTTGTCAAAATAAAATTACGTTTTAACGTTAAATACGAAAAGAAACAAAAAAAAAAAAAATTGAGTAAGTTCCAGTAAAAGGATTTTGTTCTGATTCGTTTTAATTATAGTAGTTTTAAATCAGTCAAAAAATTTACAATCACGATTATTTATTAGTACAAAAAAAAAGGCAGAACATTAACTTTACTTTTCTTTACAGGTAATATGGGTAGATTGCTAGGAAAATCAGGTTCCGGACAATTAGAAAACTTTAAAATATGTAAAAGTCATGGCTAATGCCGGGTTCTATCACGTGACTATTTGTCACGCCATGTCACGCCTCTGTTTTTTATTTTGGGATAGTGATTTCTTATTTGTCAGTTATTATTTGTCACAGGGACTATCTAATTCGGGCTAAAAATCGTGACCCAACCCCCAATTTAGAAATTCAACGCGATCAAAAAATATATCAATGTTTAATAAGTACTTTTACATTTTTTTCTTACACTCTCAAGTTTTTAAAAAAAAAAATATTTTAGAAAGAAATAATGGTACTGTAACAGGATTGGATTGATGAACGTGGCGCAGCATATTGCAGATCTAAATGTCAGACATATTTGATATATTTGATATATTTGATATACTGGACATATTTGATATAATTGATATCTTGGACATATCGGACATATAAGATATATTTGATTTATTTGATTTATTTGTTATATCCATCTATGTATTAATTTAGTATAAATAGAGAGCAATAGAATCATGTAAAACAGTAGTTCGCTTTTAGTTCACTTTTAGTCTTCCTTTAGTTCTAGATACACATTTAGTAGTTCTTGTAAGAGGCGTTTAGCCTAACATTCCACTTAGTACTTTAATTCTTTTGATTTCTTTTTATATTATTTCTTATTTTCTTATTTTTCTGTTACTATCTCTTCTCTTTATTCTTATTATTATCAATAAACATATATTATACCTCTGAATCAATCGAGTCGCCTTGCTTCTGGCTTTATCGTAAATACATCACCGTGTAGCTTATAAATCCTGAGATAAACTAAATTGAGTCACTACGTAAACTTAAAAGAATTACCACTCGAATACCCTGTCTAACAGTTGCAATTCGCAAGGATTGCATATTAACAGTACCAGTCTCTTACATAAAAAAATTAAAAATAAAAAAAAAAATGTTTTTATTGTCTATTGCTTTTTTGTTAGCTTTTTTCCTTTATATGTCGTAAAGTAAGTATTTTCTCGTTCTACAATCTAACGACAATGTCAAACTATCCCTTTGTCAAAGCCTCCTTTCAGATTTGCATGGCCTTTACATGCTTTCATTAGTTTGGAGAGTTGATGATGCATACATGAAGATCATTTGTGGCTACTAAATGCTCTTATTGTATTGAAAGACCTTTTCTATTTTTCTTGCGGAGACAAATCACACTTGGGTTAGTTATAGTTTGCTATTTTTCCTTGAGGAGACAAATCAATCTTTGGTTAGTTATAGCTTGCTATTTTCCCTTGCAGAGACAAATCAATTTTTAGGTGATTATAGTAATGCTAAAATATTTATTAAGTTTTCTATTCAGTTTACTGATTTTTTTTATCTTTTTTTTTAGTGAAAACATTTATCACTTGCTGATAAAGAGATCTGCAATCAATTCTACAATTGCGACGAAGATACTAATAACGATGTGTCATATTTATTTAATGGATCCTCCAATAATACAATCAGGGATTTTACTAAAAATGAATATCAATTCTAGAATGATCTGTGATAAATCCTTAGATTTTGGCCTATATCTATTCTCTTCGACTGAAATTTGTGGCTTTTCACAATGTCGATCTATAACTAATAATCATGTGTACAGAAAGTAAAAACCTCTAGTTTCATAATCATTCAAGTTCTATTCATAAGCAACTCTCTTTGAAAAAGTAAATGAAACCTGAATTTTTGTTAAATTTGTGTTAAATTGATTTAATTAAGTTAATATATTGATTTTATTTTTCTTTTAAAATTTTAGCATACTTGAATTCAAAAAATAATGTCACAGCATTTACTGCCTAGAAAGAAACTAAGATCCAAAGATCTCTCTTGAATATTTTTCAAATTAATTAATAATTATAGTAAACTGGGCTTAAAATCTTATGAGATAAAGGAGTCACAAGTTTGGAGACATGCTAGTTGCAAAAAAAGTAGCTAAGCAACTTATACTTTATCAAGATTTTATACTTGAGTTTACAGATTTTTATTCTTCTTTAAACTCCTATTCGATTTGTGAAAAATATTATAATAAAATTATAGCTACTAAACACTTTTATCAACAGCTTTTAAATGACCTTATGCTTACTCATGTAAACAAAAAACTTTGAATTGATACTGATTATAATAATAATCCTGTTCATACTTTAGATCCTAGTATTCATGAAGAGACAATTCCTAATGATGAGCCATACTTATCAACAGAATTTGAAAGTACTGAGAAATTATTTGAAGAAAGTCGAATAGATCACAATGTTGTAGAATTACAGTAGCAAATAGAGGACCAAGAATACGAATTATTAGAATTGAAGAAGCGACCATACGAATATGTCGAAGAGTTAGCTTGAATAAGAGATCTATATAAAAAATAATGCAATAAGAATGAGAAGCTCGTTAAGCAATAAAAATCTCGATATTGCGATTAGCATAAGCATATACAAGCAGTTATTGACATCACATTAATTGAACGAGAATCTTTATATGAGGATATCAAATCTCTGATTAGAGATAATAATAGATTTTTCTTAGAAAATCTATTAAGTTATATTCCGTAGATATAACTAAGCAAATATAATCAAGTTGTCATAAAGTTTATTGAAATATTAACCCAAAATAATCTTAATACAGATTTCTTAAATACTAAGAAAGTTTACAAAAGAGTGATGGCCGCTGATTTAATATATAGGTCTAGGCATGAAAAATATGTATCAGAAATAAATCTTATAACATCAGCTATTAAGTATTCTATTGTGCGATCAAAAACTATATTAATGTTAACGATCATATTACATGCTTAAGAAGTTATTCTCATTATTAAAGCTGGCTAGACAAACTATCAGAAAAAGAAGAACTCCTACCTGAAGGATTTTTGTTTATAGCTTTTAATAATGAATAAAGAAGACAACGAAATTATCTTGATCGAGAAAATAATACAGTAATATTTCATATCATTACCAGTTTTGTTGCCTTTAATATGAAGTCTCAGAATTGTATTCAATATACTAATTTATCCTAAATATCTAATTCCCTTAGTAGGTTACAGTATAAAAATCTTTCTGAAATTCCATCAGAAATGCAAGAAGCAATAAATCAAGAATTACATATTTACCTTACTGAAATTCTTGAGTTGTTATGTAAAAAAAAATTGTTTATGACTAATGTTATTGATTTTCTTATAGATAATTTAGGATTGAACGATCACTGCGAAAAATAATGCCCTAACTGTAAAGAGCAAAGTATTGATAATCAAAAGCAAGTTTGTCCTAAGGTAAAAATTGTCTTCTTACGTTGGTAGAATTACTGAAAAAACGTATTTCTGAGCTAGATAAAGGTAATCCAAAACAATTAATTACCTATAAACTATATTATGTTAAAAGAGAAACTAAAATACTTACTGTTTCAAGAATTAGTATTACTCAAAAATCATTCGCAGATCAAGAAGTTAATATTCTGGAAATCTTTATTCCTAATCCCTTTAATGTTAATCCTAATTCAACAGCGAATATTAAAAAAGTTCTTTCTCATATTGAGAAGATTGCAGGAATTAAAGATAGAACTCACAGATAGATGGCTGTTACATGTGATGGAGTTCTGTATTATCGTATTATTAAAATAAAAGATAGATACAGTAGCGGTCATAAGTATCTGACTGTCCAAAATCGTCCAAAATTATTATATAACTACCCCTTAAATTTTTCAGAAATATAATATAACACAATACATGATCACCCGTAAATTTATAAGTATTAATGATACAAAAAAAAAATTTAGATGATCATCAAACTTTCGCTTGAAAAATGGAACTTTCTTTAGAGAAATAATATGAAATTGTCTTTTTACATAAGCATTCAACTAGTCTAAAGTTTAGTTTTAGATTTATTGCTAAACAGGTACATTGTAGTAAGTTTACAGCTATTTATTGGGTTAAAAGATATCATGAAAATTAGGACTTAAGTACTTCAAAAAAACTAGGTGACCTTATATAATATCCGCAAAATAAGATGATAAGATTGTAAAGATGGTAGAAAAAGTACATAATATAACAGCCAAATACAAGAAAAAATAGAAGAAAGAAGTATTAGACTTAGTATAGAAATAATAAAGTGACGTTTTCATAAGTCTGAAGAAAAGTTTAGTAATAAAATTTCTAAGCCTTTGCTTAAAGAAGACCTTCAAAAGAAAAGGTTGTAATTAAAAATGGTCACTGCAATTAAAAAAATGGTGCAATTGAGTTGCAACTTGTGATGCAATTAAATTTCCTTATGA